AAGGAGCCATCGTCGAACTTATTGAAGAATCAGTATTTGTGCCAGCTGAAGCCAAATCGTGCTGGTTTTAATGGGATTCTTCAGACTATTTCTGATGATAATCTTTTCATCGTGAAGTACTGTCTTGCGTTTTCTACTACATCATCGTCGATGCAGAGCTCTTCAGTCACCAGTGTCGTCACCCCTCTTCAGAATCCAATCAACTGTTGACTTTGTTTAGGCTCAAAATTTTCGGTGATCTGACACTCAAATCATGCATGTTTGCTAGGAGTACCACCGATTGCTTCCTAGGTGTAACATCCATTATGAATTGCGGCAGTAATCGTGAAGTGAGAAGTAGAATTTAGGGAAACCATATTCACTCGTGGAATAGCTTTACAGTATAACAGTTGTAGCAATGACAGGTAGTCGCCGGGGTAACACTACTAGACTGAATGTTGCCAAAAGTCAGTGGAAACTCTTCTAAAAATGAAAGCCAAACTACATTAATTTAGCCGGAGTCGAAGACGAGATAATCACAAAATTCACTCCTTTCCCAATTAATCTGCACACTACTGTAGCTTTTGTAGTTATTTTTTTCCTCCTCTATGTCGTTTATATATATTTTGAGCAAAAAGGGGATCAACAACGATTCCCGTGGAACACCACTTGTTATGGGCCCTGATTCTGATTTCTCTCACTCGCGTTTCGATCCAGCATTGTCTGAAATTCCATGTACTGCAACTGTCTTCGACAGTTTCCTGTATGGAACTATCACACCTTAATGAAATCCTCGTCTACGATATTGTATGCTTGAGTTTGGTCAACTACCTCAAACACTTTACTGGAAAAAAGTTCATAAATTTCTAAGTCCTGAACGCCCCAATGTAAACCTGCTGAAATTCAATCCATTGCTTACATTACATCTTTCAGAGTGGTTTCGAATTAATTAATAATTCCATCAGCCTTCCTACATCTGAATTTAGGTTGCACGGTCTATATTTTGGAGCTAAGGACCGATCGCCTAGTCTTTAAATGGTTATAACATTTACCATTTTCCACTTTTTCGGAAAGAAACCATTTTGTTTTGATTCCACGAAGAAACTAACTAATGGATTACTATTTCTAATTTAAATTCATTTAGAAACCCTTAAAAAGCGTTCTTTAGAGTCAGATATGTTTGGCATGAATCCCACTGAGCACCTTATCACTAGCGGCTTTGATCTTGGACACTTTATAGCTAGACTATTTTGGCTGCTTTATGATTAGAGAAAGTTATTCCCATATTCCGTATCCTCCGTCTCCTGTGTCTCAATGCACGAGACTGAACTGTGCAGATTATGGCAAAAGCTTTTAATGGCATGAGTTGTTAGCTCTGTAGATTCGAAGTGAATGAGATTTGGTATTTACAGGTTATCACGTAGAAAATATTCATTTTTTTCAATGAACGTGACAAATGATACACAGCCCTAAACAATGTAATTCGAACTGTCTACTAAGAAACACCAGCTCTGAAGCCAAAACAAAAAGGAATTCCCTTGTTATTCCAGTGGGATCGATATTGTGAAATACATCAGCTCAGAATTTGCTGTATCAAGTTAATTAAGTTATGGTAATGCAAATTCTGAAGCAAACTGGATGAGAAACTCGGGAATTATCGCAACACGATTAATATTTCAATTATCCAACAGTTTTCTTACATGAACACGCATAGTGATTTGTATAAGGCAAAATAAGTTTAAACTTTTCTCTAAGATTTATAGCCTTTCAAGGTTTAAGCAAGCATGTCAAACATTGTGATTAATTTATCATAAAACACATTATCCTGTTGCTTCACAGATACTAGTTTGATTAATAAAACTGTCATTGTAGTTAGGGTGGGGTGTTACCGAACACCATGGCTTTTTGTAGTGTTTTAGAATCTCACAAAGTGTTGAAGGAGGGGGTTCTACTCTAGAAGGAAAATAGGAGGCTGAAGCTTCGCCTAGATGGGTTTGGGAGTGAGTGTGAGATAGATGGAGGTGGTAAGGAGGAAATGGTCAAAATCAGTGAGAGTGGCATCCGCTTTAAGTGGCAAGTGGTTCACAATTCAGGAAGATAAGGAACGTTAATGGAGAAGTTGTGAAGGTAGGAAATCGATTCTCTGTTCTCCAGAACGAGTGTACTTCAGTGGTTAGTGAGGTTCAAGGTACCAGACTCCCCTTCTAATCAAGGTAAGAATATTTCGATTGTGGGAGACTCTCAGGTAAGATATATGGACTGTGCTTTTTGTAACAGAGATAGGAAGGTCAGAGAGAGGGTGTGCTGCAGTATTAGGATTGAAAACAGCATGATATTACCAGGATACCCCAGGGATATGTTTAAAAGACAATATTCAAAATAAAGTTGCCAGTAAAGTCAAAGCAATTGATCAAGAAACAGAGATAATAGACGGCAACGAGTGACTAGCTTCCTTAAGGTTTACTATACAAAAAATAGGAGTCCAAGAAATAAGATAGACGAGCTAAGATTACTTGCAACTGCAGGTAATATAGACATTACTGCTATAACAGAGACATGGTTCAACCTGAAAGATAGAGAAATGCATTCTGAATAGGGCCAACAGGAAGGGTGTTGGAGTGACGATGTATGTCTGAGATATTTTGAATTGAGTTAGACATAATATAAGATTAGAAACATCGGACAGAATCTGTTTGGGTACAGTTTCTCGAGGGTCATAACTAATTTTGTGTGTGATGTATAGGCCCCCAAACCTAGATAGGGAGTGCAGTAGGTTGTTAAGGGACGAAATTCATAAGGCATTTAGTTTATTAAAATGTTGTGTTAATGGGAGATTTTAACTTTAGACAAACTGACACAAACAATGTGACAGGAAATTTTGTATCTAGTGATTTTCTTGATACGATTCAGGATTGCTTTTTAAAACAGTTTGTGACAGAATCAACTAGAGGAAACATCCTGCTTGACTTGGTTCTTGCAACGAAGAATCACTAATTAATAATCTTGAGGTTAATGATGCGCTTGGGGAAAGCAATCACAAATCACTTAGTTTCAATATATCATGGAATTACCCAGATAACTGCAATCAAGTCTCTGTCTCAGATTTCTGCTTGGCCGATTTTATGGGACTCAGAAATTACCTGGGTAGGCAAAATTGAGATGACCTGACGATGGGTCAGATAGGTGGTGTTGGCTGCCAATATGACGTACTTCAGAGCATAGTTCTAGCTGCCCAGACAGCTTTTGTTCCGAGTAGGGAAATTAGATCTAACGAAAATGATCGCAAATGGATGAACAATAGATTAAAACATCTCATTGGTCAAAAGAGAGGCACATATAGGCGCATGAAAAGAGGGGATGGGCAGTGAAGAAATCTATATATTCAATTAAAGAGAAAATAAAAAAAAGGATGAAAGCAAGGTATTTGAAGACTACCCAAAAGGGTTCTTTCAAGTATACAGAAGTAAAATTGGGGACAAGATAGGCCCATTTAAGAGTAACCCGGGTCATATCACTGACAGTGATAGGGGTCAGTGTTGGGCCCCATTTTGTTCACAATTTACATAAACGACATAGAGGAAGGAATAAACAGCGACATAAGCAGATTTGCTGATGAAACCAAAATAAGACGTCTAATTCATTCTAATGAGGACATTATTTCACTCCATGATGATTTGAATAGACTGATGCAATGGTCGGAAAAGTGGCAGATGCAGTTTAATATAGACAAATGCAGAGTTCTAAATGTTGGACAGGAAAATAACCATGCCACATATAAACTAAATAATGTACATCATAATACTACTGATTGCGAAAAGGATTTAGGAGTTCTGGTTAGTAGTAATCCGAAACCATTAGTGTTCGCAATGAAGCTAACAGAATCCTTGGTTTCATATCTAGAAGTATAAATAATAGAAGTCCTCAGGTGTTCTTCAACTCTATATGTCCTTGGTTAGGCATCATTTAGATTATGCTGCACAGTTCTGGTCACTGTATTGAACTGGAAAACGTACAGAGGAGAACGACAAAGTTGATCCCATGTAACAGAAATTTTCCCTATGAGGATAGACGGAGGGCCCTGAACCTGCACTCTCTAGAAAGGTGTAGAATTAAGGGGGATATGACTGAGGTGTATAAATGGAAAGCAGGAATAAATAAAGGGGATTGAAATAGTGCTGAAAATATGCAACCAAGACAGGACTCGCAGCAATGGTTTCAAGTTGAAAAAAATTCAGATTCTGGAAGGATATAGGAAAGCACTGGTTTAATAATAGAGTTGTGGATTAGTGGAACAAACTCCAGAGTACCGTCATAGAAGCGGATAACGTTGTGTAGTTTTAAAAATTGGTTGGACAAATACGTGAGTGAGTGTGGGTGGGTTTGAGTTGGACCTGACTTGCCTTTGCTACTAGGTCTGATTCAGTGCTCCTTTCTTAAGTCGAAGTCACCTGACTAGGTGGGTCATTGGTCTAAGCCGGGGGCTGACATGGACCGCTTCGCATGGGTCAGTAGGCCTGCTGCAGTGTTCCTTTTTTCTTGTGTTCTGATGTTCTTGTTAAAACTTATTAAAACAACGTAAAATAAAGACAAATGTTCTTATGAGGCAACACTTCACCCTAAAAGGCATCCTCCAGTTAATGCACACAACCCGACAGAATGTGGAATTTGAGGCATCCAGATTTGATACAAGTGGAAGTCAGACCAGTTCCCTGGGCCAAGCTTAAATAATGAATTAATGTAAATAGATACAATACGATTTCGAGATTAAAAGAGCAAAATGGCGCCTACATACTTCATTAATAATACCAACCAACACTGTTCATACAGCAGCCACACAAATTTTCCCATGCATCTTGCCCATAGCAACAACACACCATTGTTGATAATTTGAAACCGATAAATTAAGTCGATCTCGAGTTATAAAAGAAAACCTTAGACTAAAGAAAAATGTTGGTAAAATTTAAAAGTATCCTCGTTAAATTTAAAGGCTAAAGAAATACTATTTTTTTTTAGTTTTCCTTTTATATTCTGGTACAAATTTTCTACAATCCTTTACAAAATTGTTTTATATTTATTTAAGTTTTTGATAATTCACATGTGGTGAGAGGAAGCGTTACACTATTGTCTCTTATCCGTCCCATCTTTTCTCCAGTATTCCCTTTGGTTTTAGGGCTATACATCTTTGATTTTAGGTAAAAGGAAGTCTTTAACACCTGAAACTATAGCTTAAATCATAAGGTTTCACAAAGCAGGCGACCAGACGAAAGAAATAGTGGAGAATATTAGTGAGTTTGAGCGTTCAGTGAGGAACTGGGTGCAGCGTTTCAAGGCTGGAGGTGGTGTACAGTTACTGTCTGCCAAACCTCGGCCTGGCCCCTCCAAGAAGACATCTGTTCATACCTTAACTGTGTTAAAGCAGCAGTTACTCCTCGTTCAATCTGAAAGATTGAGAAATTCCGTCTGAGTGCTACATACAAGGCTTTAAATTATAACTATAAATTATTCTACACTGCTAGAATCAACAGGAAGGGTGGTGGAGTGGCGATGTATATCAGAGATAATTTAAATTGTTGCATTAGACAAGACAAAATTAGAAGCGTCGGCCAATTAATCTGTGTGGATACAGCTTCTCGAAGGCCATGAAAAACTAGTCTTGGGTGTGATTTACAGGACCCCAAACCTTGATAGGGAGTGCATTAAACTTCTATGGGACGAAATTCGCAAAGCGCCTCGATTAATTCTCAGTAATCGTCGTTAACTGCACATTAACACATCTTACGAACATACTTGTTAGTATATAATGCCACTGATACACAGTTGGGTATTGCTTGAAAGAGGCAGGAAGATCTGTCTTCTCATCTCAGGAAACTGCTTTTGATGAAAGGTTCAACAGTACAGCACTTTGTTCAAGTTTAATAATCACTTCATTGAAAAAGGACTCTTCATAGCTCCTGTAACTCTACCATGTGAGCCTTGCAAACATCATCATAACCTTCATCCTGGGGAAGGTGGACAATTTCTGTGAATCTCTAAAATTGTTTACAGGTCGACCATTTACTAATCCGGCAAACAGTGGGGCCTGTAGTGTGCCGGATTAGTGAGTTTGCTGGATTACAGAGTGGTTGGGTTAGAATACACTTAATTAACCTATCAATAGAGAAATCTTTCTGCTACATCTTCCTCATTTTCATCACTGCTTTCTCCCCCACTGGCTTGCTGCTGTGAATTAACAACCATCTGCACAATTTCTGAGTCAGTATAGTGATGAAATTTGAAATTATGCTAAGCAAATTAGTGCCGGATTACTGATGGAACCGGATAACTGATTGTCAGATTAGTGATGGCCGACCCGTTGTTTACATTTGGGAGTTCATGATATTCAGAGGTAAATATTTATTGTAGCCCAAATTTAAAATTTTTCGAGGCTTGGTGGATAATTTTCCATAGTTTTATAGTGTTGTTGTAAACCCTCAATTTAATGAATTTTTTTTGAAATATGGGACAATATTGCTGGGTCATTTGATTCGGAAACAATAGACAAAGTTAATTTGTAACAAATTTCCCTTTATTGTATAATTTTTCCAGCATAAATATTTCCTGACCTACCTTTTTAAATGATTTTTGGTGACTTTGAAGAAGGTTCTTAAAAATAATAAACTTGAAAGCAGCTTATCCATTGACTGAATTAGACTTGTGTTTTTGGGGCCAGAGAAAACCCCTTTAATTTTTTGGAAAAGTCACTCAAGGTAAGGGGATTAAAAGGGGGCTTTTTCCAAGGAGGCAATCCCTTTGTGGCAGTTTTTAATGCAATTTTTTTTCACATTTTTGAAAAAAATAAGAGAGCCATCTGAACCATCCCCAAGCTACCAGTAGTTTCTTGGTGAAATATTAAATTACAGTGACCTTGTGCTTGAAGAAGCCCTTTATTACCTTTGGCCGTCACAAGGTACACAAAATGTGCCACCACAAAAAATTTTTAAAATAGTCCTTGGTTGGTGTAAAATTTCCCAAAACAAATTTCTCATTATCAAATCTTTGGGTTTGTGATGGTATCCATGTTCAGCAGCTGGTTGTATAGAATGACAATCTAAACATATGGAGAATTCAAAATTAAACCCCTTGTCAGCTGGGGAAAAGCCCTTTTCCCTACCATTGGGGCACAAATTGGAAGTATTTTAAAAAAGGTTTTTGAATAAAACCCCAGGTTTGGTCAGTCCCCTGGTAATTTTTACTCCTTACCTTGCACTTGTGTTGGGAACCTCTCCATTGTATTATCTTCAACACAAATTACTTTCCATTTATCTAATAACTTTGAAATCTTTAACCCTTATAAAAACATTATAGAATGAATATATTTTACTGCATAACTGTTATACACTGAAGAAACTAAGACATATGCCTGAGTGTAATTAAAAAAAAAACCCGTGCAAGTTGGTAGTTTTTATCGTTCCTATAGCTTGCAAAACGATAAACCCAAAACAAAAAATTAATTACAACATCATTTTCCATGGGGAACGGTAAACAATAATGTTCAATGAGCAAATTCCAACTTTCTCCCTTATGGAAAATGGAGGAGATAATAATAAACAGAATACTCTGACCCGGCCCTACAATAGAGCGGAAAAAAAATGTAAGGGACCTGGGGGGAGTAATGTCTGAGGATCTCCTTTCAAGGATCACACAGGCCACGATCGCACGGCAAAGAAAATGATAGGATGGATAATGAGAAACTTTCAAAACGAGAGATGCCAAGCCCATAAATGATCCTTTTCAAATCACTTGTTCCTCTAGGCTGGAATACTGCTGTACATTAACATCTCCATACAAAGCAGGTGAAATCGCAGATCTAGAGAGTGTACAGAGATCCTTTACTGCACGTATAAGTTCTGTCAAGCACCTTAACTACTGGGAACGCTTGGAAGCACTTGACTTGTACTCGTTGGAACGCAGGAGGGAGAGATATATCATAATCTACACTTGGAAAATCTTGGAAGGAATGGTCCCAAATCTGCACACAGAAATCACTCCCTACGAAAGTAAAAGACTGGCAGGCGATGCAAAATGCCGCCAATAAAAAGTAGGGGCGCCAATTGGTACACTAAGAGAAAACACCATAAGTGTCCGGGGCCCAAAACTGTTCAACAGCCTCCCATCAAGCATTAGGGGAATTGCCAATAAACCCCTGGCTGCCTTCAAGAGAGAGCTGGACAGATACCTAAAGTCAGTGCCGGATCAGCCGGGCTGTGGCTCGTACGTCGGACTGCGTGCGGCCAGCAGTAACAGCCTAGTTGATCAGGCCCTGATCCATCGGGAGGCCTGGTCATGGACCGGGCCGCGGGGGCGTTGATCCCCGGAATAACCTCCAGGTAACCTCCAGGTATACCTAAATGTTGAGTTAATGGGAGATTTTAACTTTAGACAAATTGACTGGAGCAATTTTACAGGATATTTCGAGTCAAGCGACTTTCTTGATACGATTCAAGATCGTTTTTTAAAACAGTTTGTTACAGAACCAACTAAAGAAATAACCTGCTAGACTTGGTTCTTGCTGGAAGGCAATCACTAAATAATCTTGACATTAATGATGAGCATGGGGAAAGTGATCACAAATTACACAGTTTTAATATATCATGGAATTACCCAAATAACTGCAATCAAGTCTCTGTCCCTGACTTTCACTTGGCTGATTTCATAGGACTAAGAAATTACCTCGGTGGGCGGAACTCGATTGACCCGACTATGAGTCAGATAGGGGGTGATGGTTGACAATTTGATATTTTCCAGAGCATAGTTCTAGCTGCTCAGATAACTTATGTTCCGAGTAGGGAAATTAGATAAGAACATAAGAAAGAAGGAACACTGCAATAGGTCTACTGGCCCGTGCGAGGCAGGTCCAATTCCCCCACTGGTTTAAGCCACTGCCTTGACCTAGTGAGGTCAAATACGTCACTTAACGGAGGAGCACGGCATCCGACCTTGCAGCGCAAGCTTGTCATGTTCAACTCACACCCACTCATGTATTTATCCAACCTATTTTTAAAACGACAAAACGTCTTAGCTTCTATGACGTTACTCGGGAGTTTGTTCCACTCATCCACAACTCTATTACCAAACCAGTGCTTTCCTACAGCCTTCCTGAATCTGAATTTCTCCAGTTTAAAGCCATTGCTGCGAGTCTTATCTAGGCTAGATGTTCTTAGCACGCTATTTACATTCCCTTTATTAATTCCTGTTTTCCATTTATACACCTCAATCGTATCCCCCCTAATTCTGCGCCTTTATAGAGACTACATATTCAGGGCTCTCATTCTATCCTCAAAGGGAAGATTTCTGATACACGGGATCAACTTTGTCATCCTCCTTTGTACATTTTCCAGTACATTTATATCCATTCTGTAATACAGTAACCAAAACTGCGCAGCATAATCTAAATGAGGCCTAACCAAAGATATATAGAGTTGAAGAACAACCTGAGGTCACAGACCCTGAGCTGCTTTGGGGATTAGTGTGGACGGTTACAAAGCATGGCTTGCTTCTGCAGTGTTTTAAAAATTGAGGTTGGAGAGTTGAAGGAGGAGGTCTTGCTTCTCCAGGAGGAGATTAGGAGGCTGAAGGTCCACCTCAATGGGTCTGGGAGAGAGTGTGAGGTGGCTGGAGTTGTGGGGAATGAGGCTTCTAGCAGTGAGGTGCAGTCTGTCTCTCGCTGTGAGGAGGCTGTAGCTGGGGAGGTAGCAACGGCTACCAGCAGTGAGGTGCAGTCCAGCACCTGCTACAAGTGGCGAGTGGTTCACAGTAATGGAAGGCGCATCAGAGTAAGGAAAGTTAAGAGTGAAGATCTGAAGGTAGGAAATCGCTTCTCTGTTCTTCAGGATGAATGTACTTCAGTGGCCAGTGAAGGTAAGGGTACTACTGCCCCTGCTAATGGAGGTAAGCGCATTCTTGTGGTTGGTGACTCTCAGGTAAGATATATTGACCGTGCTTTTTGTAATAGGAATAAGAAGATGAGAGACAGAGTGTGCTTCCCTGGAGCTGGTGTTGGGGACATTGTCAACAGGCTGGATAATATCACGTCAGGTAATGGGAACAAGCCCATTATCTGTCTCAGTGCTGGTGGAAATGATATTGGGAAGGGTAGGAGAGAAGAGCTGCTAGATAAGTACAGGTCAGCTATAGATTTCATTAAGTCTAAGGGAGGGATCCCAATCATATGTAGCATCTTGCCTAGAAGGGGAGTAGGATATGAATGGTTGTCTAGGGCAATTGGTGTAAATTGCTGGCTAGACAGATACTGCAAGGAACTTGCAATCCCATTCATTGACAACTGGAACAACTTTTATGGCAAACATGATATGTATGCAAGGGGATGGGGTACATCTCTCTGGGGCTGGGGTGGTAGCACTTGCAGACTCGATTGAGAAGGCCATTGGTGAAATGCCTA